GGGAATGGGGTCTTTAATCCTTGCGAGCGTTTGTGCAGTGTGGCTGTGGGGTTGTGTGCTACCATGATTCCGAGTGGTTGTAGGAGTCTTGTTGTCAGTACTGATAAGTTCTTGATGTAGGGTAGTGTGGCCAGTGTTTTAGGGCGTACTGTGTCCCCTTGGTGTTGTCTTTTTAGTAGGCAGCTGCAGATGAAGTTGCGGGGATATGCGTTCATAATGAAGATTCTGTATAGGTGCTCTTTCTCTTTCCTGCGTAGTTCTGGCGTGTTGCAGTGAGTGGTGGCCTATTTAGGTGTCCTAATACAGCTTTGTTTGTGGATGTTGGGGTGGAAGTTGAGGATTTGGTCGGTGTGGGTTGCTTTCCTGAATACTGAGGTTTGAACTCTCCGTTGGTCATACGTTCAGTTTTGACGTCCAGGAACAGAAGCTGATTGTTGTTTTCTTCTTCTTCTCATGAATTTAATCCTGGTTAATACATTGTTAATGAGGTGGTGAGTCTCTTCTAGTTTGCTGCGTTTAATGATGACAAATGTCGTACCGGATCCACAGTTTAGGTTCAGCCAAAGAAACACTGGCCGCATTACTGGAGGAAGCAGAAACACAGATCAGCAGCTCCATCAGCTTGGACATCAGAGCTGAATGTATGAGCAACAGGGAGGCCCAAACCTCAGTATACAGGAAAGCAACCCAAACCAGAACTGCACAGGAAAGAGGAAGAGTACTTATATAAAATCTTTCCTATGAACGGACATCCTTGCAACTTCATCTGCAGGTGCCTACTAAATAGACAATACCAAGAGGACACAGTGCACCCTAACACACAGGCCACACTGCCCTACATCAAGAACATATCAGAACTGACAATGAGACTCCTATGACTGCTAGGAATTATGGTAGCACACAAGCCCACAGCCACGCTATGCAAACACTCACAAGGATTAAAGACCATCTGAATGAAAAAAGTCAGCTCGGTGAGCAAGTCAACAACCTCACCCTCAACATGAACTACAAATCTTTGCAAAAACCCTGAACATGAGGGAGGAGCTGGCCAGAGTTGATTGGAAGGGAGCCTAGCAGGGAAGACAGGGGAGCAGTAATGGCAGGAGTTGCTGGGGTTAGTTCAGAATGCACAGCAGAAATTCATCCTAAGGAAGAAGACACTAAGGGGAGGATGAGGCAACCGTGGCTGTCAAAGGAAGTCAAGGACAGCAGAAAAGCAAAAAAAAAAAATGCATTCAAAGTGGTGAATATTAGTGGGAAGCCAGAGGACTGGGGAGCCTTTGAAAACCAGTTGAAGTTAACTGAGAAAGCAATAGGGAGAAGGGTGCAGAAGATAAAATATGAGAGTAAGCTTGCTAGTAATATTAAAGAAGATAGTAAGAGTTTTTTTTAGATATCTGAATGGTTTGAGAAAGGGAAGATGGGCATTGAACCACTAGAAAATGAGGCTGGAGAAGTAGTAATGGGGAACAAAGAAACGGTGGAGAAACCGAATAGGTACTTTGCATACAGTGAAAGACACCAACAGCATAACAGAACTTCAAGTGATTCGGAGGGGCTGAAGTGAGTGTAGTGGCCATTACTAAGGAAAAGGTGCTAGGGAAGCTAAAAGGTCTGAAGGTGGATAAATCACCCAGATCAGATTGTGTACACCCCCGAGTTCTAAAGGAAATGTAGAAACATAGAAGTCAAGAGCAGGAGGAGGCCATTCAGCCCTTTGAGCCTGCTCCGCCATTCTTCACGATCTTGGCTGATCGTCCAACTCAATAGCCTAATCCTGCTTTCTCCCCATAACCTTTGATCCCATTCACCCCAAGTGCTATATCTTCACCTCTTGAATGCATTCAATGTTTTGGCATCAACTACTTCCTTTGGGAATAAATTCCACAGACTCTCTTTTGGATGAAGAAATGTCTCCTTAACTCCTTCCTAAATTGTCTACCCGAATCGACATATTATGACCCCAGGTTCTGGACGCACCCACCATCGGGAGCATCCTCCCTGAATCTACCCTGTCCAGTCCTATTGGATTTTATAAGTCTCTATGACCCCCCTCATTCGTCTGAACTCCAGCGAAAACACTCCCTACCTAGTCAATCTCTCCTCGTATGTCAGACCCGCCATCCCCAGAATCAGCCTAGTAAACTGGAGATAGCTAAGGAGATTGTAGAGGCATTGGTGGTGATCTTTCAGGAATCACTGGAATCAGGAAGGGTGCTAAAGGACTGGAAAATAGTGAATGTAACACCCCTGTTTAAGAAGGGAGGGAGGCAGAAGATAGGAAACCACAGGCCAGTTAGGCTGATCTTAGTCGTTGGTAAGATTGTAGAGTCCATTATTAAGGATGAGAGTGTGGAGTGCTTGGAAGTGCATAGTAAAATAGGGCGGAGTCAGCACGGCTTCATCAAGGACAGGTCATGCCTGACAAATCTTTAGAATTCTTTGAGGAGGTAACAAGCAAGTTAGACAAAGTGGACATGATCTGTTTGGATTTCCAGAAGGCCTTTGACAAAATATTGTGCAAGGTGCTGCTAAATATGGTAAGAGCCCTTGGTGTTACAGGCAAAGTATTGGCATGGATAGAAGATTGACTGACCAGCAGAGAATAGAGATAAAGGAGTTTTTTTCAGGATGGCAACTGGCGGAGTTCTGCAGGGGTCAACGTTGGGACCACAACTATTCATTAATGGTCTGGATGAAGGAACTGAGGGCATTGTTGTTAAGATTGTAAATAACACAACGATAGGTGGAGGGGCAGGTAGTGGGAGGCTGCAGAAGGAATTGGACAGACAGGAGAGTGGGCAGCACGGTGGCTCAGGGGTTAGCACTGCTGCCTCACAGCGCCAACGACCTGGGTTTGATTCCACCCTCGGGCAACTGGCTGTGTGGAGTTTGCACGTTCTCCCCGTGTCTGAGTGGGTTTCCTCCCACAGTCCAAAGATGTGCAGGCTAGGTGGATTGGCCACGGTAAATTGCCAGTAGTGTTCAGGGATGTATAGATTAGGTGGGTTATAGGGTGATGGGTCTGGGTCGATGCTCTGAGGGTTGGTGTGGACTTGTTGGGCCAAAGGGCCTGCTTCCACACTAGGGATTCTATGATTGACAAAGAAGTGGCAGGCGGAATACAGTATAGGATGTATGCACTTTGGTGGGAAGAATAGAGGCGTAGACTATTTTCTAAACAAGGAGAGGCTTTGGAAGTCTGAAGCACAAAGGGCCTTAGGAGTCCTAGTTTAGGATTTTCTTAATGTTAATGACAGGATCAGTTGGCAGTGTGGAAGGCAAATGCAAAGTCAACATTAATTTTGAGAGGCTAGAATATAAGAGAAGAGATGTTGAGGCTGTATAAGGCTCTGGTCAGACCATATTTGGAATATTATGAGCAGTTTTGGGGCCCTATATCTGAGGAAGGGGCGTGCTTGTGTGGAGGGGAGGAGATTTACAAGAATGATCCTTGGGATGAAGGGCTTATGATATGAGGAGCGGTTGAGGACTCTGGATTTGTTCTCAATGGAGTTTAGAAGGATTAGGGGGTATCTCATTGAAACTTAGAGAATACTGAGAGGCCTGGATAGGGTTGATGTGGAGAAGATGTTTCCACTGGTAGGAGAGACTAGAACCTGAAGGCACAGCCTCAGAGTGAAGGCACAGCCCTTCAGAACTGAGATGAGGAGGTATTTCTTCAGCCAGAGGGTGGTCATTCTGTAGAACTCATTGTCGCAGAGGGCTGTGAAGACCAAATGATTGAGTGTACTTAAGACTGAGATAGATAGGTGCTTGATTGGTAATGGGAGCAAGGATTACAGGGACAAGACTGGGAAATGTTCTGATAAACTTATCAGCCACAATCGAATGGCAGAGCAGACTTGATGGGCTGAATGGTCTAATTCTGCTGTCATATCTTATGATTTTCATGGCTATAGAGGCACTGGAAAAAGCTTAAAAAGATTTATAAGGATGATACAAGAGCTAAGAAGTTGTACTTTGCACGAATGGCTGAACGAATTGTGACTCATTCTGTCCAGATGTCTGGGATCAACTGAACAGAGATCTTTAAAATGATGAGAGGGTCTGATAAGATAGATGTAAAGAAGAATTTTCTATTTATGGAGAAGTCAAAACCAGATTTGTACCCCACGATTGGTGAGAAGATAGAGCCTTCTATTTACAAGGTATAATTGAGGTGAATAGCATTGATGAATTTAAGGGGAAGCATGATTATTTCACGGTGGGAGAAGGGGATGTTTTAATCAGGTTTAATAAAAAAATGGTGGAAGGAGGTTTGTATGAAGCTTGACACTAAAACGGAACAGACAACTGCGGATGCTGGAAACTGGAAGCAAAATCAGAAATTGCTGGGAAAACTCAGCAGGTCTGGCAGCATCTGTGCAGAGAAAGCAAAGTTAACGTTTTGAGACCAAAGACACTGGAACAAGACCATGATCCTTTTGAAGAAGCGTCATTGGACTCGAAACATTAACTGAGCTTTCTCTCCGCAGCTGCTGCCAGACCTGCTGAGTTTCTCCAGCAATTTCTGGTTTTGTATGGAGCTTATGCTGCCATAGAATAATTAAGCTTAATTGTGCTATAAATTTTTGTTATAAATTCTGCATAATATGACTCTTCCATGGGTTGATAGAGTGATAATGTGGGAACATATTGTAAAGATGATTGGCGAAAGATCTAGAGGGGATATGGAGAAATTTTTGCACAAGGAGTTTGATTAGAAACCGTCTTGTAAACAGATTCAGTAGTAACTTTTGAAAGGGAATTGCATTAATACTTGATGGAAAAATTTTGCAGGGTTGTGGATGAAGAACAGGGAGTGGGACTCTTCAGGTAGCTCTTTCAAAGAATTAGCATAGCACAATGGGCCAAATGGCTGCTTTCTGTGCCCTGCGATTCTTTGATTTACCTGATCTTTATTTGGGTATCTGCTTCTCTTTGAAGAATTTAACAGAAGTTTTGTTTTTTTTTTGTTTCCCTCCCTCCTAGATCCAATGAACGCTTTGCAGAACTTGCAAGGTGGCCCTACGGGGAGCTCGAGTGGGATGATGGCCACTCGTCCCCCCGGAGTGGCAGGTCTGGGACAGTTGAATCAGTCAATGTCACATCCTGGACAGCCTCAGCCGGGTACGTCTGGAATGGTGCCTCACATGCCTGGCTTCCCGCCAAGCACGCAGCAGCAGTGTGAGTAGGATACAGAAGTTGCAAAGTCCTGAAGTAGGCCGCACCTGTTTTATGGCATTCGCTGTCTCAATGTTTTTTTTTGGGCTCTTTCCTTGCTAGACTGCGCCGCTCAGCTTGAGTGTTCCCTGTACTTGAAGCTCCAGTTTGTTATACACTTGCTTGGTAGTTTTGTCTGGTTCGGGGGTTGGTGGGAAGGATGGCAATGCAGTTTGGAGAATGTAACTTTGGAGGCCAGGCGCTGCAACTCAACAGTCTACCCTCTTCTACAAAGGAAAGGAAGGCTTGTACAATAATCTCTATGTTATATGGTTGCTAAACTATATGGCTCCCTGGTTGAGCCTGTTGGTGTATTAAACTTGAGGCTTAGAATTGATCAGTACTTTTTGCAAATTTATTAGTGCATCTACACAAAGTTCTTCTGCATAGCATTTAAAATCGATTATTAACCTGGTGAAAGAGTTAATGTTGTTATTACCCTGAAGGGAGAGTACTGTAGGAATCAAGCCCTATGACTCCACAGGACACCCCAAATAGTGTAAGCGTCTAATTGAATCATCATGTTGAAATTGCTTTACGTTTATTGTTATCTAGGTCAAAAAAAGACTCCTCCAAACTTCATCAATAAAGGCAATAACTTATTTATTATGAACAAGCTTGTCTTTAACAATTGAAAACATGGATTATTGACTACAGCTACACAAATTTAAACTGTACCCCCTTTAAATCCAAACAAAAACATGTTTATACAAAGACAGGACGAAACACAACATACAGTTCTGCGGAGTTTTTATGGCTAGGAAAAATGTGTCAAAAAGAAAATCCTATGGATCAAGAGGCCAAGCCACAAGGGCAGAATAAAGTGACTTTTCTCACAGTTCTTTCACTTCCTATCAATGAGATCATGTTGCTTTCAGCTGCAGGGTAATGGAAGATCCTCTGTTTAGGTCGCCGATCCTTAGACCCAGGTTGTTTATTGAATTAGCAATTTAGCCTTTGACTCTTTGTCGTTGTCTTTTACTCGGAGGGAGAGAAAGTGCTGCTTCTTTGCAAGCCTCTTTTTCCGGGAGAGAAAGAGAAGCTGCAGGTTTCTTTCCAACTACACCACTGTCCAGTTCATGGCAAAAGACAAACTAGCAGTCAAGAATCTGTTGCTAGGCAGTCTGAAGCCCTGTGTTCCTCCTTTTAGTTTGTCTAGCAAAAGTGACACGTCCATCTCATTGCTCTCAAAAATAGTTCAAGACCTTCGAATTCTAAAAGGTCGCATGATAAACTCTGTGCACTCTTGGCACAGTCCAAAACTTTGATTTTTCAGGTTTTCATATAGGTGCTTGTAATAATGAGTTAAAGTAGACTCAGAGATAATGTTTGTGAAAAGAAATGTCATCAACAGCAATTAAAGCCTCCAGGTATGAAAAAGTCACATCCATATTATTTTCAACTAAATTTCTCCATGTTGTGGCAATTCTATGAATAATGTTCAAGTGTTGAAACAAAGACAGAAATTGCTGGCGAAACTCAGCAGGTCAAACATTATTTGTTCTGATTAAGAATCACTGGACTTTAAACATTAACTCTGCTTTTTTTCCCCACAGATGTTGCCAGACCTGCTGATTTTCACTATCAGTTTCTGTTTTTGTTTCAGGTCTCCAACATGCACAGTTTTTTGATTTATTATAATGTATTGAGGATGTTATGTGTTCATTAGAATATTGCCCTGAGTTAATATTGACTTCACTGTGCAAGACTGGAAGAAATCAACTGCATTCTTCCTTTTACATAGTGTGGGAGCATAGCCTGGCCTTACTGCTTCTAGAATAGCCTCATGCATGCGAACGTATCTCCATGCCACTGTAGATAGACAGTACTATATATAGCTTCTTACTCTTGCACCATTTAAAGCTCCAATAATCAGTCCTTTTTGCCTCTCATGCACCCCTACCTCATTTCCAGTTATGGATTTTTGGTTACACTACATTAAATGCATCGACCCTTTCTGTTACCTCATTAAAAAACTTAATCATGCTAGTTTAATACAATTTTTTTTATCAGATCCATTTTTTCCATAATTAATCCATCCTTTTCCAAGTGACTGTTAATTTTGTCCCAGGTTATTATTTCTAAAAGCTTCCCTACTACTGAAGTTAAATTGACTGCTCTGTCATTATTGGGTTTGTGCTTGTTGCCATTGTTTGAGCAAGGATGTAACATTTGTAATTCTCCAGCCATCTGGTACCAACCCTGCACCTCAGGAGGATTATGGCAGGTAATTCCACAATTTTCACTCTTACTTTCCTCCGTATTTTGGGATCCATCCCATTTGGTCCCGGAAACTTACCAGTTTAAATATAACCTTTTAATGTTTTCATTACCTACAGCGGATTCCAGGGCTTGCTCTTATGTTAATCTGTCATAACCAGTTTTTTTACCCACTGCTTACTTTTTACATCCGTTATATCCTTTCTCATTTTCCCTCTGAACTTTCTGTATTCAGCCTGGTTCTCACTTGAATTATCAACCTGAATGTATGTCATAATCACTCTTTTCTTCTACTTCAAAATACCTTCTGTCATCATTTTCATCCAGGTAGCTCTGGATTTGGCTGTCCTAGCAACCATCCTGAAGAGATTTCATCTTGACTGTCCCTGAAACTTCTCCTCTTTCTAGGCAACCCATTATTTCTCTCTGGTCTTTAGACAATTAATATCCCAGTCTGTATTGGGATAATTAAAGTCCCCTTTTAAAACTATGGTATTTCCACCTTTCTGTAATTTCTTGCAAATGTAATGCTGTACATCATTTTTTTCTACTTGTTAGTTGCCTATAGAATTCTCCCAGTAGTGTGGTGACACTTCTATTGTATGTTGTGTCTAGCTACTTGATCCCTCTCACAAGCATTATCATATTCTTCTTAATCATTACGAGTGTCTTTCCTTTCCTTTCTTGCCCTATCTTTCCTTAACACCTTGAGACTGTTACTGTGATCACTTCCTTAAAGGTTGTTCGCCCGTTGGTGTTGAACCTTCTTGTGGTATACATTCATTTACAAGTAGGTGTTCACAGCTAGATCACTTGTTGTTTCTATGTAAGCAAAGCATTGTGCATTGTGGCAACACAAAACTAAAACTGGAAACGTGGCCCTACCATGGAATTTAGAGGTAGTATAAGATGCAAGGAAGGAGGATACAAATTGGCCGAATAACAGCAGACCTGAGGTTTGGAAGCAGTTTACATTTCTCAGAGGACAGCAGCACCAGCTCTACATCTAGTCCCAGCCACAGCCCTACCAAGTATTCACCGTACCCTCAGACCTCCCCCTCACTGAGGATAAACAGCCAGTCCTCAGCAAAGAACTCACCTTGATTTCCCTGCACCCAAAGATCAATGAATTCCATACACGCCTGGATATTGAACTCTTTTTCTGCTGCCTCCACACCTATTTTTTTTGACCAGGAATCTAACCCACCCTCTGCAGACCCCCTTCTCCCACCTCCAACAAACCCCATCCTCCTGGACACCATCCCACAGCCTCCTACCCTCCCTTGACCCCTCATCTCCAGCTGCCATCGCGACATCAATCGCCTTAATCTCTCCACCCCTCTCGCTCCCTCCAATATCTCCCCTGTGGAACGCGCAGCCTTCCACTCCCTCTGCTATAACCCAACGTCACCATCAAACCTGTCGATAAGGGGGCGCAGTAGTGGTAGGGCGTACTGACTTTTACGTTGTGGAGGCCAGGCGCCAACTCTCTGACACCTCCTCCTATAGTTCCCTTGATTATGACCCTACCCCTGATCAACAAACCAGCATCTCTCAGGCCATCCATAATCTCATCACCTCAGGAGACCTCCCACCCACAGCCTCCAACCTCATCATTTGTCAACCCCGCACTGCCTGGTTCTATCTCCTTCCAAAAATCCACAAACCTTACTGCCCTAGTTGACCCATTGTCTCTGCCTGCTCCTGCCTCACTGAACTCATCTCCGCTTACCTCGACTCTCTTTTCTCCCCAGGTCCAGGAACTCTCCACCTATGTTTGGGAAACTACAAACGCCTCCACCTCCTCCAAGACTTTCAATTCCCCAGCCCCCAAAACAACATCTTCACCATGCACGTCCAGTCGCTGTACACTTGTATCCCCCACGCAGAATGCCTAAAAGCACCCCGCTTCTTCCTCTCCCGCAGGCCCAACCAGTCCCTCTCCACCAACACCATCATCCGCTTAATGGAACTTGTCCTTACCCTCAACAACTTTTTCTTTAACTCCTCCCACTTATAAACTAAAGGGTTGGCTCTGGGTTCCCATATGGGTCCAAGCTATGCCTGTCTCTTCGTAGGATATGTGGAACAGTCCACCTTCTGCTGTTGCATTGGCACAATCCTTCACCTCTTCCTCTGCTACATCGATGACTGTACCGGTGCTGCGTCGTGCTCCCATGAGGAGCTTGAACAGTTCATCAACTTTACTAACACCTTTCACCCGAACCTCAAATTCACCTGGACCATCTCTGATACCTCCCTATCCTTCCTGGACCTCTCCTTCTCCATCTCCGTTAACCGTCTCAGCACTGACACCTATTTCAAACCCACCAACTCCCACAGCTACCTTGAGTACACCTCCTCTCACCCACCTTCCTGCAAGAATGTGATCCCTTATCCCAATTCCTCCGCCTCCACCGCATCTGCTCCCAGATATCCCAGACGTCATCCTACTTCAAGGACACAACTCCGGCCCCCCCGCCGTTGATCCAAAATGTTCTCGACCACATCTCTTGCATTTCCCACACTTGTGCCCTCAAACCCTCTCCCCCTAACAAAAATAAGGACAGAGTCCCCGTGGTCCTTACATACCACCCCACCAATCTCCGCACCCAGCGCATTATCCTCCACCACTTCTGCCATCTACAATCCAACGCCACAACCAAAGAGATATTTCCCTCCCCACTCCTATCTGCCTTTCATAGGGACCGTTCACTCCACAGCTCCCTCATCTGCTCCTCACTCCCCACGAACCCCACCACACCTGACACCTTTCCCTGCAACTGCAGGAGGTGTAACATTTGCCCTTACACCCACCCTCTCACCTCTATCCAGCGCCCAATACAAACTTTCCATATCCGACAGGGATTCACCTTTACATCTTCCAACCTGGCCTACTGTATCCATTGCTCCCGATGTAGCTTTCTCTACCTCAGTGAGACCAAGCGCAGACTCAGTGACCGACTCGTGGAACATCTGCGCTCTGTAGGCTGTAATCAACAACACCTTCCGATTGCCAACCATTTTAACTCCCCCTCCCACTCCTTGGTGACATGGCCACCCTTGGTGTCCTCTAGTGCCACAATGAGGCCACACGCAAACTGGAGGAACAACACCTCATACTCTACCTTGGGAGCCTTCAGCCCGATGACCTGAACCTAGAATTCACCAGTTTCAAAATCTCCCCACCCCTGACCTCATCCCATGTCCAACCCTCCCCTTATCCCCGTCTCCTTGACCTGACACAACCTGCCCATCTTCTTTCCCACTTATCCGCCCCACCCTTCCCTCTGACCAGTGCCCACAACTCCTACCTGCATCCACCCATCATCATCCTACCTTCCCCCAGCCCCATCCCTCCTCCCTCTATTTATTTCCCAGCTCCCTTCCCACTCCCCAGTCCTGATGAAGAGTCCCACCCGAAACATCGACTCTTCTGTTCCTCTGATGCTGCCTGACCTGCTCTGTTCCTCCAGCTCCACAATGTATTGAGTTTAAATTTCTGCAAAGGAGGACAAAGGGATTGATTTGGGGGAGGTGAAGGTGGAGGGCAATGGGAGAGTACAGCACAAGAGTAAGCTGCAGGGAACATACAAACTGACTGTAAGAGCTTCTATAGCCATGCGAGGAGAAAAAGATTAGTGAAGCCAAATGTTAGGTCCCTTACTTTCAGTAACAGGACAAGTTTAATCAGGAACAAAGAGAATGGCTGACCAATTAAATACATATTTTTGTTCTGCCTTCACAAAGAGGACAGAAATACCAGCTCAAAAATGTGAAGCACACAGGATCAAGTGAGAGGGAGGAACTGAAGGAACTCAGTATTACTAGAGAAATGGTGTTGGGGAAATTGCTGGGATTGAAGACTGAGGAATCCCCAGGACTTGTTAACCTGCTTCCCAAAGTACTTAAGTGGCTCTAGAAATGGCGCATGCATTGGTGGTCATCTTCCAAGATTCTTTAGACTCTGTAACAGTCTTGGAGTCTAGCTCATGTAACCCTAACATTAAAAAAGGATGTGGTGAGAAAATGGAATTACAGGCTAGTTAGCCTGATAATGTTAGTGGGGAAATGCCAGTATCCGTATTAAAAATTTAAGAGCAGAGCACTTGGAAAACAGGATCAGACAGAGTAGGAGTGAGTGGATGCTTTTTACTTGGACTTTCCAAACGCTTTCAATAAGGTCCCACATAAGATATTAGCGTGCAAAACAGAAATGCTTGGGTTAGTGTCCTGACATGGATAGAAAAAATATTGGCCAACAGGAAACAAATGGTAGGAATAAATGGGCCTTTTTCTGAGTAGCAGGCAGTGTCTCATGGGATACCATAGGGATCAGTGCTTGGTTCCCAGCTATTCACAATATAAATGATTTAGAAAAAGGAACTAAATGGAATATCTTCAAGTTCACAGATGATACAAAGCTGAGTCTTACGGTGAGCTGGGAGGAGGATGCTAAAATGCTTCATTGTGATTAGGACAAGCTGAGTGAGTGTAAATATATGGCAGATGAAGTCTCGGGTGAATAAATGAAAGGTTATCCACTTTGGTGGCAAAAACAAGAAGGCAGATCATTATCTGATTGATAGATTGGGAAAGGGGGACGTGCAATGAGACCTGCATGTTACTGAAAATACGCACATAGGTGTGGCAGATGGTGAAGAAGGCCAACGGTATGTTGGCCTTCATAGCAAGAGGATTTAAGTATAAGAAGGGATGTGTTGTTGCAGGGCCTCGATGAGACCATACCTGGAGTACAGTATGCAGTTTTGGTCTCCTTATCTGAGGAAGGATGTTCTGGCGATGATGGGAGTGCGTGAAGGTTTACCAGACTGGTTCCTGGGATGGCAGGACTGACCTCTCAAGAGAGGCTCGATTGTCTAGGACTGTTTTCACTGGAGTTTGGAAGAATGAGAGAGGACCTCAGAGAAACTGATAAAATTCTAACAGGACTAGACAAGGTAAACACAGGAAGGATGTTCCAAATGAGTGGATAGTACGTAGCCAAGAGTCACTGTTTAAGGATAGGGGTAGGCCATTTAGGACTGAGATGAGAAATTTCTTCATCCGGAGAATGGTGAGCTACTTAGTTTTGAGATTATAACTTTTACATTATATAGAGACTTCCCTTCATTACACTGGAAAGACTTAACAAGTGGGAGTTTGTTCCATGAATATTAAAACTGGCTTCGCAATTCAGTCTGCTCACGGCTGATCTTTGACCTCAGCTCCGCATCCCCACCCAACTCCCGTATACTTTGATTCCCTTAAATTTCTGGAATTTATCAGTCTCCAGTCAGAATGTACTCATCAGCTGGGCATCCACAACCCTCTGCAGTAGAGAATTTGAACCTTCTCAGCAAAGATATTTCTCTGCTAAATGGCTGGTTATTTATCCTCAGGCTAGTTTCGATCTCTCCTTCCAGATGCTATCATTGTTGATGTTTTGGGTACCACAATGGTGCTAATGAAGATTCAGCACAAGGGAGTTGGATTTTTAATGTGATGTGAGCAACAGGCAAGCATTGATTGCTCGTTGGAGTTCCCTTGGCTTAGCCATGGATATTTTTACTGAGTGACTAGTGAAGCACTCAGATCAATCGCACTTTTGAACTGGAGTCATGGGTACAAAGAATACTTCAGCGGAGGAACAGGCCCTTTGACCCACCAAGTCTGTGCCAACACAGGGAAACTCTGCTAGGAGTAACACATTCCCATTCCTAAGTTTAGGGACAATTCAGCTATTGCATTCAGATTTGGATGAATGCATTCCATTTGTGAATGTTATTCTTATTTCATAATAAGAGTCTTTTTGATACGAACTTAAGTGGAAAGTAATGCAAATGAATCTTTAGTCATTATTTTTGGTGCCTATGACATTTACTCCACCTAATAGTGTCCAGTATGTAGCTCACTGTGTGTTTAGTGTAATGAGCACTGGTCTCTCTATGTTATGTGAATGACCAACTTTACACCTTTGAGATTGTTAAAGCCTGAATTTGTGAAACCAGTTCAAGTATACAGTGCCCTTGTACAGTACATGGAATTTTCACAAGCTAGCTGTGCTGTGCTTTGTTGGATTCCATCCTTGTGACCTCTTGTGAACTGTGTGAGATACACTTTGCCTCTCTGAAGGAACCAGTTGGATCCAGGGCGAAGTTCACACTTTGAACGAGGTGGTCGAAGTTAACAGTGTTCTTTTATTAATCCAATCCTCCAGCCCAATTGCAGATGCAGCAGATTGCCCAGCAGCAGCAACAGCAACAACAGTTCCAGGCCCAACAAGCCGTGCAGCAGCAACAACAGCAACAGCAGCAACAGCAACAACAGTTCCAGGTACAGCAGCAGCAGATGATGAAACTTCAGATGCAGCAGCAGCAGCAACAGCAACAGCAGCAGCAGCAGGTAAAAGGACTGGCTTGTACCTGAATTGAACCCTGAGTGCCATTTGTGAGACACTTCATCACAAGCTGTGATGAAACAATTTTTCTTCTCTCCCCTTCTGTCCAAACTTACTGAGACATCCGAGCCTGAGTGGGTTGACCATTATATGAGTGGCAGCAGGTTATTGGGCCATGTGAATCACCACAGCCTAACTCAGCGACTGAGTACATGCACTTTTCATCAAGTAAACTGAATGATAGGAGTGGCTAATCTGCCTGGCTTCTCTGGTTCTGTGTTCCCACAACACCGACCACGTCCCTAGACTAACCAATTGTGGAACTCGTAGTACCACCCCAGGCCAGCTAACACAACACGCACCAGCAATTGGGGCTATCATTTTGCAGGCTGTATTGATCATCTTGCAGTAACTCATCAGGGTAGTTGCCAGACCTTCTGCCATAGCAGTGGGCTTTGGATTGGGCAGTAGCCCACGCTGGTTTGATGAGATCTTGCCATCTCTCTTTTTCAGAGAATTCCTTCTTCACTTGTTTGATTAAAGTTGAGATTAGTAGCTCCAGTTTACAAGAGAATCCTTTAGTTATTTTAAATTTGAAGTTGTGCTCCTCATTGGGATACTCATGACAGAGTTACTATATTATCGGGAACATTGTCAAAAATGATTTAGTAGGAAAGGAAAATTACTGAAGCTGCTGGAAATCTGCTTTGAAAACAGAGCATGTTGGAAATACTTAAACGGTCAGATGACATCTCTGGAGAAAGAAGCAGAGTAATTATCTTTCATCAGAACTGGAAGAGTTTTAAGGAAGAAAAAAGGTAGAAAAACTCGAGAGAATGGGGCAATAGCAAAAGGAAAGGATTGTAATAGAGTGAAAAGTAAGGCAGAATAAGTGACAGATGAGATGACGGTGCAAGGCCAAAGGAGAAAATAACACAACAGGCCTGTCACAACAATGGGACGCAGTACTGTCACACCACTGGATATAGTACCGGTTAGGGCACGTCTGTTTCTGTATAACACAGATACAGTACTGGTGGAAATGGGTCTGTCATTGTATAAAATTAGATACTTCTGCTGGTGGTTAAAGATAGGTCTGTCTCTGTAACAATGGTGGATGCAGCTCTGGAGTATAGTGCTGATGGGTGCAGTCATTCAAATAATATTGCATTATGCTGACTTTTCTGAGTTTGTATAATAGCTTACTGATATTTTCCTTCTCACTGTATCACAGAGATTGATTCAACAGCAACTCCAGCAGCAGCAACAACAGATCCAACTCCAGCAGCTTCAGCAGTTGCAGTCTCAAACACCGTCTCAGCTGGTGCCTCAATCTCAGTCCCAGCCCATGGTTACTCAGGTGCCAGGCCAGATGTCAGGCCAGGTTTCCATGTCTTCATCCTTAACACAACAGCAGCAACCAATGAAGCTTCAATCTCTGCACCAGGTATATAGCCTATCATTGCTAAGCAACTGTCATGCTATGAACATTTCCTTAGCTGGACAGACCTTGACTATATGCTGGATAATTTCTTTGCAATAGAATTTATAAGAGTGAAATGAAATTAGTGTGCTAGACCTCCACAGGAAACTAGTAATGAATCAGAGTCAGGATACACCACAATAAATATAAATGAAGAAAATAATTGCAGTATAGAGTGACAAACTCCCGGGGTCAGATGTTTTTCAGATGGGTTCTAAAAGAAGTAAGTGAGGATATTGTAGATACCCAACGTATCACCTTCCAAAGTTCCCCGTAGAATCCCTACACTGTGGAAACAGGCCATTTGGCCCAACAAATTGACACCATATCCCACCCAGGCTCTCATCCCCCCCACCCTATCCCTGCAACCCTGCACCTCCCATGACTAATCCACCTAATCTACACATTCCCAGACACTATGGGTAATTTAGCATGGCAAATCCACCTAACCTGCACATCTTTGGACTGTGGGAGAAAACCAGGGCACTCGGAGGAAACCCACACAGACATGGGGAGAATGTGCAAACTCCACACAAATCTGAGGCTAGAATTGAGCCCAGGTCCCTGGCACCATGAAGCAGCAGTGCTAACCACTGAGCCACTGTGCTGCCCCATTTTCTTGGTTCATGAGCCCTTGTTTGCACTGGGAAGTTGCACAGGTTACTCAACTATTTAAGAAAGGTGAACGGGGGAAGCAATTCACTTAACACCTGTTATTAGAAACCCTAATTAATGATAGATTGACCGAACATCTCGAAAATTATCGGCTAGTCAGAGACAGCCATGGCCATTGATAAAGGCTAGGTTATGTCTGATGAATATGATTGAATTTGTTTGAAGAAGTGACTGAAGTAGTGGGCAGAAGAATATCTGTGGATAATATTTATACAGACCTTAGCAAAGCGTTTTATAGAGCCCCTCATAAGACATTGTTAACAAAAGTGGAAGGGAAATTAATGACTTGGTTTGGAAGTTGGCTGACTAGTAAAGACAGAGTTGGGATAATGGATTGAGGTACCTCAAAAGGGTCTTTAATGGTATCTCAACAACTCAACATATTTATTAATGACTTCAATGATGGGATAGCAAGCCACATGTCCAAATTTGACAACGATGTAAAGCACATGTTTAAGGTAATTGATAGAAGAAGGGCGCTTAAGGAAAAGTGTTTTCACCCAGAGGGTAGTCAGTGTCTGGAATTCATTGCACAATTTGGAGGTTGAAGTGGAAACCTTCAACTTATTTAAAAGAAACCTGGATCTGAGCTGAGATTCTGTAATCTGCAAGGACTAGACAGCAGGATTAGAATGGGCAGCTACTTTATCAGTGGCATAAACACAATGGGCTGGATGACTTCTTTGCTGTAACATTTTTATATTTTGATGGTTCTGTAGATTATGGAAGCGTAAAATTATAATGCGATACTGACAGCTTAAAAAAATGTTGCAAATGGATTTCTATGTAGCTAAATGTGAAGTCATTTACTAAAAGACATCTACTAAAAAGTTTGGAACTGGGTACTTCTTAAATTGTGAAAAACTGCTGACAGTGATAACCCAAAGAGAATCAGGGATCAGTTACAAAGGTCATTATAATGACCTGGACAGGTATGCTGGCTTTTACATCTAAAGGACTAGAATGCAATGAGTGCATAAAGCCCTGGAGACCACAACTGGGAGGAGTTCTTAGGATCAGAAATTAGAAAGGGATTACTGGATAGGTTTACTCAAATGGTGCCTGGACTCCAAGAGTTAAATTACGAGGTGAGATCATGCAAACTATTCTCTATAATTTAGAAGGTTAAGAGATGAATTGCTGATAAGTTTCAAGGGGTTACAGAAGAAACTATTTCCATTGGTGGGAATTCCGGAACTATCAGAACAGATCTGTCAGGAATGAAAGTTGAGAAGCACTTTTACACGCAAAGGACAAAAGTTTGGAACTTGGATCTGCAAATACCAGATTTGTTTTTAAGATGAAGTTAACAGGTTTTTGTTAACCAAATAAATTAAGAGATGAGGCAGCAGTGGTTATATAGAGCTAGATCACACATCAGCCACAATTTCATTGAATGGGGAATCAGGTTTCGAGGCTTAAAAGGCTTCCTTTTGTTTCTGCTTTCCCATGTTCCATGACTTAATTGCAAGTATCGTCGACTTCACCTATGTGAAATCACAATTTTAGAGTTCTGAATGATATGCTATGATTCACTGAGCCTGTGCCACCTTTTGGCGAATCATGCCATTTCCCCAGCTATTTTTCTCTTGGCTTGGGAAATTTTTTTTTCAAATAAAAATACCCTTTGAAAGGTTTCATTTGAAGCTGATTCCAGCATCGCTTTTGGCAACGCATTCCAGATCACAACATCTCGCTGTACAAAAATATTTCTCCTCTTTTTGCCAGTTATCTGAAATCTATGTCCTGTGTTTACAACCCTTCCAGTCAGTCGTAGAGATATACAGCATGGAAACAAACTGTTCGGTCCAACTTGTGCATACTGACCAGATATCCTAAATTAATCTAGTTCCATTTGCCAGCATTTGGCCCATGTCCCTCTAAACTGCCAACTTTAAGGGCATTTAAATGGTCATTGGATAAACGTATGGATGATAATGGCATAGTGTAGGTTAGATGGGCTTCAGATTGGTTTCACAGGTCGGCGCAACATCGAGGGCTGAAGGGCCTGTACTGTGCTGTAATGTTCTATGTTCTATGTTCTAAACCCTTTCTATTCATATACCCATCCAGATGTCTTTTAAATGTTGTAATTGTACCCATCTCCACCACTTCCACTGGCAACTCATTCCATACATGCATCACCATGTGTGAAAAAGTTGCCCCTTAGATCCCTTTTAAATCTTTCCCCTCCCACCTTAAACCTGTGCCCTCTGGTTTTTGACTTCCCCACCCTGGGGAATAGATCTTGCCTATTTACCTTATCCATGATTTTATAAACCTCTATGAGGTCACCCCTCAGCGTCCGACCCGCCAGTGAAAATAGTGTGAACAGTTTGTTCCTCTTTACTCCATTGAAACCTTTATGACTTTGAGCATCTCAATTAACTATACACTTAACTTACTCTGTTTTAAAGAAAATAATGTCAACTTTTCTAGTTGATACTATCGATTTCTGCACCTCTGCCCTTAACACAACTTACAAAAAAAAATCTTAAAATCACTTCCAGTGCACACAATGAGATTGCTAAGCTGCTAACTACTCAATTGCAGGTCAGCTGGTAGAGAGCTTTTGAGACATTTTTGTCAAGCTGGAGCCTGTCAGGTGTCACTCCCTCAGATATGCCAACTATTGAAATAGGACCAATAGCCTGTCCATTTGGCAATAATGTAGTAGGAATTGGCTTATAGTGAACACCTTGCCCGAAGCATTATTCATGCCTACTTTATTGGAGGGGAAGTTTAATTGAAACAAAAACCGAAGTTGCTGGAAAAGCTCAGCAGGTCTGGCAGCATCTGTGAAGAAAAAATCAATGTCAATGTTTCGGGTCTGGTGACCCTTCCTCGGAACTGAACAGAAGTTTAATTGGAGCAGGGTCCTGCTGCCCCATTGGTAAAATCCAACTTTCACCGTTGCATTCATTGGAAAGTCTGTTGTAATAACACCAACAGGTGTTGAAAGTAAAATTCTGTCTTTATTACTAAAAATGGCAACTATTCTCAACATTGTATTCAGAATTCCTTTGAGGCTGTTGGTATATGAGTATCTGAGATTATTGGTAGGATTTTTGCACAATGTACCTCATGAACATGCTTAAAATTAACAGAACAAGTATAGTTTAGACTTCATGTAACTTCTTTGTCTTACAATTTGTCTTTAGCTGACCAATCTAACACAATTGGATTGACTTAGTTGGAAAGTTTGTCATAGTGATAATTTGGTCTAATGTGCATGTTCTAGCATTTTGAAAAGATTATCCAATTGGTCTCAATGGGCTCCTCTCACTATCACCTTGCAAGCACCTTCAGGTGTTTATCCAGTTTCCTATAGAAAGTAATTAATAAATTTGCTTCCAACACTGTTTCAAGCTGTGCATTTCAGATCGTAACTTACTGTATAAAAATAAATTATTCTCGTCTTGCCTCAGTCTTTGTTGATATTTACTGTAAATCCATGTACCCACTCTTCTGTCTGTTTGGTTTCCTGGTGAGGAAAGCCTTTCTGGACATTAGTATTGGGCTGACCATCTAACTCATTTTCTGAAGTAGTAGAAAATGTATACAATTCAGAATAAATATGATTGTTTAAAATCTTATTCTTTTATTTCAGGTCCGTTCACAGTTTCCCCAGGGTCAGACATCTCAGGCCCAGGCTCAAGCCCAAGCTCAGGCACAGGCTCAAGCCCAAGCTCAGGCACAGGCCCAGGCTCAAGCCCAAGCACAGGCCCAGGCTCAAGCCCAAGCACAGGCCCAGGCTCAAGCCCAAGCACAGGCCCAAGCACAGGCCCAAGCTCAGGCACAAGCTCAGGCCCAGGCTCAAGCCCAAGCTCAGGCCCAGGCTCAAGCACAAATGGGAGCAGGAGGGCAGGTAAGGAAAGTGATGAGAGTGAGTGCCAGCCGGCCTTCACTGCATGAGTTGATTAGCATGTTGTATTATTTCTGGTGGATTCCTTATCTCTTTGCAGGGTCCTTGTCTGGGTTGTTAATTGCACGCATCGTAAAGCAAGCTGCTTCTAAATAATACAATAATAAATTGATCCTAAACCTAATTCATTTCCTCCTCAAGTTGTAATTATTCTTTGCAGCTACTAAAAGAAAAATTGTACTTTTATGTATTTTTATCCAGCTTCAGTTGTATATGGAACGACAGGAGACATTTTGCATAGACAGCACTTGTTTCACAGTCTGGATAAACCAATTTTGGCGCAAACACATTACTATTTACCTTGAAATCATTTTCTGAGGTCTTAACTTATTAATTGTTTCTGGTTGAGTTTCTGATTCCAAATTCTTGCTCAATCTCGAACTGGTCATGAAATGGGCTACGGGCAGGGAAGATGTGGCCTTATGATAGATTCCGAGGTCAATTTACTGATTCGTAAAATGAATGTCAGAGGCAGAGATCTTGGAATAACCAGCTGTAGCATTACCTACACAAAGAAGTGTGGGAAATGTTGCTGTTTGCACCTTTGCAGTTGATTGCTAGCCCTCTAGAAGCCCACCTGGTGTGTATAGCCTGCCTGACACCCTGGATTGCAAGTGTAGAATTACACAGAGGTCGTAACGCAGAAACATACCCTTCGGAACAGCCAGACGCCATTGATGTTTATCCTCTACCTGAATTGTTGTCCCATGTGACCGCTTATTCACATATCCCTCACTCCCGCCCCCCCACCTTCACTGATTAACTAACTTAGTCCTAAATATTGATGAGGTCTCTGATTCAGTTACTAACTCTGCTAGTGTCACAACTCTGTGCCAAAAGAAATTCTAATTGCTCTATTGTCTCCTGGTTATTCATTTAATTATGCATCTTTGACCCTTGTTCTTGACTTCAGGAAGTGGCATGTTTCTATCTATTCTGCCTTGTGTCTTCAGAATGTTAAATATCTTGATCAAAACTCCCTGTTGTCTGTTCTGTTCTAGTGAAGACAACTGTAGTTTTGAAAGCATCTTTCTACTTGAGATTCCTCATATCAGGCAGATTTCCAGTGTATCTACATAGTACCCTGTTTTCCACCACAGTATTTTCCCTATAATGTGGATGCAGAACTGACCTTGCTCAGGTTCTATATAACTTAATTATTACGTCCAATAGCACTTTCTGAAACTAGGAATGTTATCCACTGGAATTGTTGCTTTTACTATCTTGTGTACTTGTGAATCTCATGACACTGCAGTTTCCCTACGTTATATTACAGCCTCTGAGGCAACAAGTTCTGTGGCCTCTGGTGAGTCAGTGTTTGTGCCAAGTTAGCCCAGCCTTCAGGTTTTTCTGCTGGGCAGTCATCAGCTGATTACAAGTGATCAGGGTGGCTGTCACAAATACAGATGTCAGCAACATCTGGAGTGAGCTTATTTGCTGCAGAAACAGTTTGATCAAGGTCAGTACTACCACAGACCTGCAAGCAAGAAGAGGCATTCATTCAGACACTTGATCTTCAGGCCATCAGATGTCGAGGCTCTTATGGGCTTAGGCAGGTCCATCTCATAAAGCTTTGATTCTGCACCTCTGAAGCAAGAATAAGTCTAAGTACCTCTGCAGAGGCTCCCAAGGCAGCTGGATATTTTGGCAAGCAACCATTTGTTCTTTTTTTTTTGAGGAAGGTGAAGGGTTCCTTCTACAGACCACAGTGACTATGAATCAAATAATATGACACCCCACCTATCTTTTATATACTACAGTGCCAGTCAGCCAGGATTCATCCAAGTGTCTCATACTTATTTGTAAGGAACCTACATTCATTGCAACTTGTCCCAAAGATTTATCAGCTCTACAGTCTCCATTCAGGCAGTTAGTGCCATCCTTGATGGATGGAGGTTCTGAAGGACAGATTATCCTTATGGCCCATGCCAAGACAGGAAAGGTGCTGAACTCCTGCATCACTTTGAAGATGCAAGGATTGTAGTGCTGGTTGGGCTGTTGATTTGCTTGGCAATGTGGATTTCTGCATAGCTCTTCTTTTCCCTCACAACTTCAGTTCTAGGATCAGGGAAAATGCCGACGATGTCACATTGCCTCTTTCATGTGGGAAGATCTAACTCGCAGACTCATGCCCTGTGCATTCATGTATCCATCAGAAATTGCCAACAGGCAAGACTTTTAACTTGGAAAAATGTTCAGTGATTCCCAGTGCTTAGCAGCTGACTTGCTGAGACGTAGTGTTATATAGCCAATAGTGGCAATGTTTCCAGCACTTAAAAGTTTTTGCTCTGCAATCTGCAAATATCCAATTTTTAAATGTTTGTTTTAACTAAAACCACTGAAGGGGGATTTTTTTTTCTCATTTCTGCATGTTTCTGGAAAGGGGGTCCTTTTGCTATTTAGAAGAGCAAGAGTAGGTCAGTTGTTGAGGAGGGTGAGCAGCCTTAAGACAAGCTAAGGTCTTTTCTTTATTCCAATAGTTACTAGAGGTGTAACGATAGCATTTAATGAGTGGTATGCTCTTCCTGTGATATGTGGGAGTTCAGGGAGAAGTCAAATGTCCCTGACAACTATGTCTGCAGTAAGTGTGTTCACCTGCAGCTTCTCTCAGACTGCGTAGATCAGTTGGAGCAGCAGTTGGACTCACTGAGGAGCATACAGGAGATATAAAGTTTTATAGATAGGGGAATCAGGGATGTGGTCACACCAAAGTTTAAGCCAGATAGACGGGTGATCGCTAGGAAGGGCAGGCAGGCAGTCCCGCAGTCCCCTGTGGTATTCCCATCTCCAACAAGTATACTGTTTTAGATGCTGTTGATATGGTTGTGGGGGGAGGTGGTATTGTCTGTTAGAGGAAAGCAACAGCATCAGCCAGATCGGTGACACAACGATTGGCTCTGTTGTACAGCAAAGAGAGAGTCAAAGTGTGAGTGAGCAGTAGTAATAGGGGACTGTATCGTTGGGGCACAGGCGTTTTTGTGGATGTGAGTGAGACTCCAGGATGGTGTGTTGCCTCCCTGGTGCCAGGGTCAAGGTTGTCTCCGAGCTGGCACAGGACATTCTGAAAGGAGAGTGTGTGCAGCCAGAAGTTGCAGTCTTCATCGGTACTAACGACATAGGCAGGAAGATAGATTAGGACCTGAAAAGGGAATTTAACGAGTTAGGTAGAAAGTTGAAATGCAGGACCTCTAGGAGTGTAATTGCAGGATTGCTCCCTATGCCATGTGCTAGTGAGGCTAGAAATAGGAAGATAATTCAGTTGAATGTGTGGCTAAAGAGCTGGTGTAAGAGGGAGGGCTTCAGATATCTGGATCAAGAAGGGCAGATAGTTTTGTTAGTGCCATTTTGTGTGTGTGTGGGTGTTTTGGGGTGTAGTGTGTGGTGGGTTTGGGAACCAGAGCAGTAGGTTCTGGAGTGATTGAAGAGAAGGTTGAGGTTAAGTCAAGTAAGTCTCAGAGGAAGAGCAGAAGGACTGGCGGTCTGAAGTATATTTATTTTTAAGCAAGGAGTGTAACAGGTAAGGCAGATGAGCTTAAAGCCTGAATTAGTATGTGGAACTATGATGTTGTAATCAGTACAGCAACTTAGTTGAGAGAAGGGCAGGACTAGCAGCTCAACATTCCAGAATTTAGATGTTTCAGTCATGATGGAGAGGAATCAAAAAGGGATGGGCGAGTTGCATTACTGATTAAGGAAAATGTCACAGCTGTACTGAGAGAGGACATCTGGAGGATACATCCAGTGAGGCCACATGGGGTGGAACTTGGGAAGAAGAAAGGTGTAATCACTATGGTGGGGTTATACTATAGGCCTGCCAATAGCAAATGGGAGATAGAGGAATAGATATGTCGGCAGATCATGGAAAGATATTGAATAACAGGGTCATTGTAGTGGGTGATTTAACTTCCCCAATATTTACTGTGACTCCCTTAGTGCCAGGAACTCAAGTGGGCCAGAATTTGTTAGATGTGTCTTGAAACAGTATATGGATAGTCCAAGTAGGGAAAAGGCCGTACTAGACCTTGTATTGAGGAATGATCCTGGCCAGGTGGTTGAAGTTTCAGTGGGGGAATGTTTAGGGAGCTGTGTTCATAATTCTGTAAGTTTTAAGAAATTATGGATGAGAATAAGATTGGTCCTTGGGTGAAAGTGCTAAATTGGGGCAAGGATAATTGCACAGTATTAGGCAGGAACTGGAGAAATTAGATTGGGGATGCCTGTTTAAGGGTAAATCCACATCTGACATGCGGGAATCTTTTAAAGATCAAAGGTCAGGACCAGCATTTTCCCCTGAGGATGAAAGATAACAGCAAGATTCAGGGTCCCTGGATGACAGGAGGTATTGAAAGTTTAGTTGAAAAGAAAAAGGAAGCATATTATAAGGTTTAAGAAACTGAGATCAGACAAGGCTCTTGAGGAATATAAAGGGAGCAGGAATGAACTTAAACAAGGAATTAGGAGGGCCAAAAGGGGCCATCAAATGTCCTTGGCAAGTAGGAGTAAAGAGAATTCTAAGGCATTTTATATGTATATTAGGAGCAAGAGGGCAGCTATGGAGATAGTCGACCCAAGGACAAAGGAGAGAATTTATATGTGCAGCCAGAGAAAGTGGGTGAGGTCCTTAATGAGTACTTTGCATGAGTATTCACTAAAGAGAAGGACGTGAGTGATGGTAAGATTAGGGAGGGGTATGTTGATATTCTGGGTCACATCTTTATTAAGGAGGAGGGGATGGTGTTGGGTGTCCTGAAAAACATTTTAGATAGATAAGTCCCTGATGGGATCTATCTCAGGTCACTGAGGGACGCAAGGGAAGAGCTTGCTGTGGCCTTGACAAGAGATCTTTGTATCCTGTCTAGCCACATGAGGTGCCATGTGAAGATGGGAGAATGGCCAATGTTATTCCTTTGTTTAAGAAGGGCAAGAGGAAATTATACAGTAAA